AAAAAAAAAAAAAATTCTCAAAGGGATATAGGATCTAACAAAAGAGCAACAAATAATTTAAAGTATATTCAGGCTCACTGCCTGTAGCTCAGCAGTTAGAGCGCCAGCCACATATACCAAGGCAGGTGGGTTCGAACCCGGCCTGGGCCTGGTAAACAACAATGACAACTGCAACAACAACAACAACAAAAAAACAAAAAACAAATAGCCGGGTATGTGGCGCACCACTGTAGTCTCAGCTACTAGGGAGGCTGAGGCAAGAGAATCGCATAAGCCCAAGAGTTTGAGGTTGCTATGAGCTATGATGCCACATCACTCTACTGAGGGCAACACAGTGAGATTCTGTCTCAAAAAAGTAATAATAAAATAAAAATAAAATAAAGTATATTCAATATGAAGATAAATAATATAACGGTCAAAAAACATAGACTCTGAACTAGACGGTGTCAGGTCCACACCCCACCACTAATATGCCATGGACTTTGGATAAGTTACTTAAAGTCTGTGTCCAAGTTTCCATATCTGTAAAATAGGGTAACAGTAACTATCCCATAGAATGTTGTAATATTTAAATGAATCAAATTATGTAAAGTGGTTAGAATATAGTACCCCATGCATCATAAGTCCTGCATAATAGACAAATATTACCATCTTGTCATCTCAGTAAGAAAGTGGAGCCACTATTATTTTCCACCTTGTGTTCTATATTTTTCAAAATTTCTATAATGAATATGCATTACTTTTTAAATGACTTAAAAGGTAATCAGATATGTGATAAATATAGCCAATGTTCATTGTGAAATCTAAGTGGCTGAGTTATAAATTGTTCACTATACTATTCTCTCAATTTTTCTATATATTTGAAATTTTTCATAGTGAAACACTGTAAAAAACAATAAGTAAACAAGATAATCTAAGCTAAAAGCAATGCGTGATTCTAGATAGAAATCTGAATCAGGAAAAACATTTCTATAAGAGATATTATGAAAACTGGCAAACTATGAAAGATTATATAATGGTATTTTTTTTTTTTTAGAGAGTCTCACTCTGTTGCTCCAAGCTAGAGTGCCATGATGTCATAGCTCACAGCTGCTCAAACTCCTGGGTTGATTGAGCACCTGCCATGACATCTGGCTAATTTTTCTATTTTTTAAATAGAGACAGAGTCTCTATTGTTCAGGATAGTCTTGAACTCCTGAACTCAAAGGATCCTCCAGCCTCAGCCTCCCAGAGTGCTAGGATTACTGGTTTGAGCCACCACACCTGACCTCTTTATATTAATGTTAAATATCCTGAATATAATTGATAAGTCTAGGGAAAAAGCAAGCAAATATTCATTATATTCTTCTTCCATTTCATAGGTTTGAAAAATTGTTGGCTCAGCACCTGTGGCTCAAGCGGCTAAGGCGCCAGCCACATACAACTGAGCTGGCGGGTTC